CTTCCCAATCAGATGCCATAGTTGGGGACATAAACTGCGTCTGATTCCTCCACCAACCTGCCGGCTCTCGACCCAAAAACCAGGTAGTGGTCTCAACCCACCTATCAGTCGGAAAATTCCCCTGACTTTGCATTACCTGAAACATCTTTTCAATATGATCTAGCCATTTCTCTGCCCCTTCGTGACCTTCATCACCCATAAAGCGATCCAATTTCAAATTGTACATGGTCTCCAGGGGTGTCCTCTGAGGTGAGGGAGGAAGACGAATCACATTTTGAAAAGCCTGAGCCATTGCTTCCCCCAACCGAACGATATCAGGAAAATTAGGATCAGGAGTACGGCGGAACTCCCTACGCTCTCTACGAGGCGGCATAATTCTGACAGAAAACATCAAAAGATCATTAAAGCATTAACAATTATACAAGACTGCAACCCAAGCTCTGATACCAAACTGACACACCCCGACCCAGAGGATCAAGGCGTGCTGGCCGTCACGTGAGTGTGACGTAACCAAGAGTGCGACACGGAAGCAAGATATAACAGAATACGAAGGAATTTAAACCAATCTCTAGCAGAACAACCTACTATAATAACAGGACGAGTTAAGATAAACACATAAATTCAGAGCATAGGTTTAAGTGCAGTCAAGTAGGACAAAAATAAAAGTACATCACCCTCAGGTGAGTCCTACATGTCAAGAGTCTGTCAGAAAGCCGGAATAAGACCTTGAGAGCCACCAACCGCTAACTAGAACCTGGAGGGGCGCAAAACAAAATGAGTGGGTCAGTAAAACTAAAGATTTTCCAAAACATTTCGTTAAAAACATTTTTAACCCCTCACCGTAAAACCTGTATACTTTCCCAGAAATAGTATATAAACACATATATATATCATCAAGAGCTTAAATCACAATCCATCATAATAACATCTCAGAAATGATATGCCATGCCCAAAATATAATCAGAATGCATCAATGTCAATCAGCTGAAAATAATAAATCAACCGGAGACCCTACAATGGTCATGTACGGCTGATTCTAAAGCTCAACATCCCACTCAGCCGGAGTCACCACAGTGACCTATACGGCCCTGCCGGAGCCACCAACTGTGACCTGTACGGCACTACACTGCACATCACTCGGAACTACATATAGTAGTCTGTACGATGATAGGTGTATAAATACGCTCTAGTGCTTCTCTTAACAATCATCAGCGCGCATAACTAAGGTCACCCACTAGTCGGAATCATATCTAGTGATCTGTACGACTAGCATGTCGGAACCCTCACATGGTCTGTACGACATCCACCTACTTGGATCCAAGGCGAGCGTGCGGTGTGGTGAATAACAATATAAGCACTAACACCTAAGTGCAGGTTATGAGCTTTCAATGTAATTCATATAAAATAACTCATCTGAAAGATAATAAAACTCACCTGTGCGTCCACCGCGTCAATTCACATATATATGCATCAATTCTCAATTCAAATATCTCAACATTTGCATGCATGGCAATTTAAATCATAATTTTCATATAAATGCATTTTCTGGGAAAAACAGTTGTATATAGGTAATACGAAATCAAAACTGCCCACTCACTGATAAGTCGATGGGTCGTAACCCCCGTGACGTCCCTGGATGCGCTCGTCCTCGGGATAGGTGTCACCTATATGCGAAACAACTATAAAAACGTTAATTTAAACACATAACCAATAATTCGAAATAACTTCTCATACGATGCTCAATTTGGGTATATGAATATACCACATCGACCTACTCGACGTCACGGACGTCGAGAAATTTTTAGAAAATTTTTTAGAGGTCCCACGCGCCCCCACGCGCCGTGGGTGGCACGGGTCCACGCGCCCCCCACGCGCACCTTCTTCCTCAGCCAGTCGCTGGACTGATTTTTCCGGCGGCCGGTTTCTGGCGAGTTTTAAAACTCTTCGCTCTCCTTCGTTTTTCACCCATTTTCTTCGTATTTTATATCAAATTGAAGCCCCAAACATGTAGAATCACGATAAACTAGTTTAAGGCTCTAAAAATCAAGAAATCTCACCGGGGAAATTCCAAGAAATTCGGCCAAACTTGAACCACGTGATCCCGACGTCCAAATCCTTCAAACGAAGTACTCCGAGCCTCTTTGGAACCTTACTAAGCTTACTACAAGCTTAGAATTCCCTGAAACACAACATTTTACGTTCGCATGAACAGTGACAAAAAATGGAGGTTCGGGTTTCACGTGATTCCGAAGGTTTCACTTCCTAAAACTAGTACCATTCAACTCAGAACGTCAAAAGGATGAAGATGCATACCTTGGATGCCTCGATCCGTCGAGTTGGAAGGTGTTTGGGTGTCCGTACGTTTGGGTGTGAAGAGAGAGAGGGAGTCGGGACGAGGAGAGAGAGAGACACGGGGAAGGGAGGAATAACAGGGAGGTGTATGTGTGTGGTCTAAGATCAAATCCACACCATCCATTTACATCCCTAACCAAACAAACAATTCAACCTTTGAAAATTCTATCCAACTTAATTAATATATCCAATAGGTTAGGAAAAATATGAATATCTAAAACATAACACACACACACACCTTAGTAACGTCAAGGGTAAATCCGTCAATTCACGTCCCCGATAGAAAATCTCGGGACGGGCTGTGACATATGACATGTCACCAAAAGGTTTAATTTGGTGCTCATACATTACTTATACATATCCTTAAAGACTCGAAAATATCATTATTTTTTAATCTTATATTGACGAGGTTAGTAAATAAGAAAAAACATCTCATGATTTATACAAAAACACTTTAAAAGTTCACATGGAAGACAAAACTCATAATCTATCTAATTGTAAGCCTGCAGTTTTTTGGTCTCCTTCTCTCGATACAAAATAAATTAGTTTTTCCGTGTTTCTAAATTACTGAGTTTGAAGTGTTTTTCTAAATATAATTTTATTGATGTCTTACGTGTAAAAATAAATAATTTTTTTATATAAAGTGAAGACACATTTTTGGCATTGTCTTGAACCTCAAAAATCTCTGAACCAGCCTTGCTGCTTACACTGTGCATGAGGAGGCAAGAGCTCAAATGATCCCAATAATAGCCTTGTTTTTCTTCACTAATCTTAATTTTAATGTTCAATCTTTATGTAAATATTCAGTGTTAACTTTTCATGAACTGACGTCAGAGATAAATCACATCTTTCAAATTGAACAAAGAGAAATATATCAATTGGGAGATAAATTTTATACTCTCCCTCTATCTTTCACCCGACTCCTTTCAGTTTGTCCTTTATTGTCTAAGTACCTTTATCTTCCTTTATTGTCTAATGCGTCTTTATCTTGTGGAAGAAAAATGAGCAGGGACAAAATGGAAAAACATGGAAGTTTTTAACGGATTTGGATCCTATTCGGATTCAAATTGTGGAAATTTTAGGGATTTTTACATTTTTATCATTCATCGTGCATCGTACCGTCAGAAATCATTTAATTTTTTTAATTTAAAATTAAACATTAATAGTATCTGATAAAAGCTGGTCGCACGATGTATGATGAACGGTTAGGATGTGAAGATCCCTAAGATCCCATAAAATGAATCCAAAAAAGATCCTCTTCCGTTTTTAACAACCTTAGGGGTGTTTTTTCCTTTTTAAAGTAACTTTTATTGCATTAAGGACAAACAAGGGTTGTGATTGGACCAGCATAACGGGGCCGACACAAAGGGTGGCAAGCAACCGAAAATTTTGAGAAAACTCCAGTACAAAATAAACCCAACTCATAACCAAAACAAACGAACATAACAGCAACCCTATTCTCTATATATATATTCCACATGCTGAGCGCCGCCGCCAGAACAGAAACCGTCATCAACCACTAAAGTAGTCGCGATGAAAAAAAATAACCGAGTGGTTAATTCGACCATGACATCGCAACACAAAGACTATAGGACGAGGATTGTTTGTCTTTCTTGTTTCTGTGCTCTTCCGTGTCCTTCTGTTTGTATGATCACGGTTAAATCACGTCAACATTTTATATTACTATTTATTTTTATCTTATTATCTCTATAAAAATAAAAATAAAATGCTGACATGGCTGAATCGTGATAACACAAAACAGAAGAAAACCGAGAGGGCACAGAAATAAGGAGGGCAAACAATCGTTGTCCAAAACTATAACCCGGGAACTTCATTTCGTCACCCGAGTCCAACAACCTGAGTGTTTAATTAAATATAATATATTTTTAGGTGTAATAGAAGCAGAGTGTGTAAAGTTTGCCTTTGTCAAATACCATTTCACGGAAATGAGGGTGCCATAGGACCCATGGATTCTTGACTCACTGTGGTTGGTTAGTGTAGATTTTCAGTGGAGAACCATCTTCCTTTCAACACAAACTAGACGTAGGTCCAGGGCAAGGGTTTCAAACACAAATTTACCATACCAAAACTAACTGGTTGAATGACACATCCCTTCAACACACCTAGAATATGCAATGAGTTAATTTCCTCAATAGCTTACTAATAAGCTATGGTGAATGTCTTGAAATTGCTCATTATGGTGAATTCATTGCATTGTATTCAGAATCAAAATGCCCATATGTTCGACTCTTTATTCAAATAAATAAAAATATATATTAGACGTACAAGTATTTTATTCATCAGTGTATGTGGATCTTTTCATGTTGTAGATAAATAGATGACTCATTAAGATGAGTTAATTATTTCAAACATATGCCTTAACAGATATGAGTTAGATCAGTTGACCATGACAATTTGTACACTCCTCATGAAGCAAGTCTTCTTCTAGACTAAGGAAAAGAGAAGGTTTGAAATTGAAATCCGAATTAAGTGGTCCAGCACCTGTTCCCATCTGACCAAGACTTGGTCATATTTGCGTACTTTCCAAATTTTGTACCGTGTAAAAGAAACAAAAATACCTTTGAACAATTTCTCAATCTTTTTCATGGAGCACCAACTCAGAAGAAGCCTCACAAAAGCAGCTTATATTCACAACACATTTAAATTTCCCCACCACCACCATAACATCTTCAAATCCAAACCAATCCAAAAGAAAAGCAAAAGCAGCTAGAACCAGAAGCCATGGATGACATCATTTCTTTAATCCTCCATGGATGCGAGTTGGCTAGAGAGCTTGGAGAAACCCTACCCAACTTGGCCACCCAACCTGACTCACTTTTCAATTCATTGGAAAAAATCACAAAGATTTTTGGTTCAGCAAAGGAAAGGGTTTTACATAGTCAAGATTCAAGTAGTAGTTCATATCTTCACAACACTTTAACACTTGAGCACCAGCAGATTGGAACAAGTGTTGAACAATGGCTGAGGTCTAATCCGCAGGCAATGGATATAATCCAAACCCAACTAGCAGCTGATCGAAACGAAGCGAAGATCAGTGGCGGCATTGATATCCGGGGTTTGGAGGCGGCAGTTAGGGGTTCTCAGGCAGTGGATGTTGTGCCAGCTTCTGACTTGAACATTGCTTCATCAAGCTCACAAAGACCGCGACAAAGGTTCGTTTATCTCCAAAATTTGAGAGATTATATTATGTGATTACTTAACATGACCTTAATTTGTGCATGTATACGTAAAAACATTATGTTAAATTATTGGCACCAAGACAACTCTGTAAAAGATATTGCTTTGTGTGTGTATCTGTGTATGATGGTTGAACAACACAACGTAGTCTGTATTGTATCGTTATTGTCAATATTGTATTAATAACATGTTCATGTATTGGCGATGATAATATATCGACATATTATCGACAAGAACAGTTGCCTGTCCTATAGCTAGAGTATGAAAACAAATACGGTAACTTTGCTAAGAAGAGAGAAGGAAAATGTATCGAAAGCAGAAGAGCATTACCAGGTTGCTTCTTAGAAAATGACCTCAATAAAGCATATAAACTCTATATGGCTTTTACTTTGTGAATCAAGTACTTTGTTTCGGCAGCATGCACTTGTTTTCTAATCATACTATTATATTTTCTTAAATAGGAAAGATCAAGGGTTAATTAGCAAAATGACAGTGCCAGCACCTAGGATTGGAAACACTGAAATCCCACCAGAGGATGGCTTCACTTGGAGAAAATATGGTCAAAAGGAGATCATAAACAGCAGATTCCCAAGGTAATTAATTTGACCATAATCATAGATTAAGGTTAATTATATCGTATTTGACATGTTCAATTCAAAGATATGTCGCGTTCTTCTACTTCATCTTAGTGGTTTACCAGGAATGCTATATATGATAGATATTGGAGGCCTTTAACTTGTTCGAGTTGGTATAATTAGTGTCATTTTTTTCATGGAATGAAATATTCATACGTGGACCAGACTTGACTTGGTCAGCAATCAGTCAGTTTTGACCAGAATTTGGCAAACAATCTTTAATTCTTATGACCAATTGCTTCTTAGTAAATGGGAAAACCCATGCCCAGAGTGGAGGGACTTGAGAATGTTCAATTAGTACTATATATTCGCTAAATTCAAATGTTTAGTCACAGTTAACTACTAAATTACTTAATTAATGAAGCCTCTGATTATGACAATGATATTAACAGTTGACGGGTGATAAGTTTTTTTCCTTCGTAATTTAATGAATCACTTAAATCGCCAAACTATAGAAGAAATAAAAATTCATTATCCGTCAACTATTAATGTTGGTTGCATGTATAACAGTTTGATACATTGTATTTTTCTTTCTCTTCAAAACGTTACTTTCAAGTGTTGTTTTGCTGATTAATTATATCATGTTTCTTTTTCAGGAGTTACTATAGATGCACCCATCAAAAGTTGTACAATTGCCTGGCCAAGAAGCATGTCCAGAGGCTGGACGATGATCCCTCGACATTTGAAGTAACGTACATAGGTGAACACACATGCCACATGTCAGCCACTGCACCTTCAATTCTAACACCCACAGCAGATCATCATATTACACAAGATCAGATGGCAGCAACCACTGAGCCTCCAACATCTCGATGGCTTTCCATGGACTTTAACCCTATTAGAGGGGGCAGCAGCAGCGGTGGTATGATCGGTGGCAGTTGTGGCGGCGGTGGTGATGACGTCGGTACATCCACCGGCACACGTTACCCCGGTAAAGAAGTTGACTTTCCTGTGATGGATTTGGCTGATGCTATGTTTAATTCAGGCAGCAGCAGCAGCAGTATGGATTTTATTTTCAGTTCTGCTGAACGTACATGGGAGCCAGATGACAAGAAAAATTGAGATCACTAGGCAGGAAATGCTTGTACTTGGGCCGGCAGGTCAATTTTCTTTATAATGTTGTTCAGCCAATGAAAAGATCATAGGAGCTAATTAACCAAATTAATCTGAGTCAGTCATCCTAGTCTTCTAGGGAGGTTAATTAAAGTAGTTTCACACAGGTGTTTGTAAACTTTTTTTCTGGTCAATAGGTGTTTGTAAACCTTATTTATTATTTATTTTGAAAAATGGTATTTTATAGTGATCTAATCTCCGAGAATGATAATCCAAATTCGAAAGTAAGAGAATGAGCCCACTGGCATAGCAGTTTAATTTTTGTTAATTTTAAATTGTATACTATGTTCACTTATGTTATGTGCATGCCCACTTCTTTTCCATGACAAGTTTGGGATGACCCTAAGGAAGATTATGAGTTAACGATAGGCTTACACATTAGTTAATGTGGTTTCAGTTTTTCTAACTAACTGATCATGAACATCATTATTAGGATACTCCATATTACGACGTCAATAATTTAAACTCAATTAGATGTGAGATGAAGCAACTATTCAACTAACTAAATCCACTTATGTCCAGTTTTTGTAAACTTTTAAGTAAAATTAACTTAATTCTTTGTTACTTTACAACTAATGCGATCGTTAGATAATCTTTGTCTATTGCCACAAATTAGGGTTTTCTTTTTCTCGGACTAATGTGATCGTTAAAGAATTTCTATCTACCGCCACAAATTCGGATTTTCTTTTTCTCGTAATAATATTACTAGACCAAAAACTAATTAATTAGTTAGTATTTGTTTAGTTACGTAGCATTGCACTGAACTCGATTGATGAGTAGGGATACGAAACCACAATCAACGTGAAACTTCTTCTAACTCAAACTGATTATTTACATCATTATTCAGAAACCCTTGCTATTAAGGAGATACAAATTAAACAGCATCAAAACCTTCATCAAAATTAATATCACACTCAAAATTAATAGACTTAACCATGTCGTCCCACTGCATGTTTGAAACCACGTTCTCATTGGAAGACACGCAGATTCCGGTAGGCTCGGAAAAATCCAAGTGATCCTTCAAACCAAGCCACACATTGTTGTCCGTTACATCACTTGGTGTCCCCACTTTGGAATCTTCTTGTTTGACGATGGGAATGGACGACGAGGATGAGCCAAAGAAATTAGGGTTTTGGCGATGTGGGGACCCAGATTCTGAGCTAACAGTCTGAGATGGCCAAAGATCAGGGCCGATGATCATTGGAGAAGCCTTGATCATGGTTCTGCACGTGTGCTCGCCAATGTAGGTGATTTGGTACGTGCGTGGGTTGTCTTGGATTTGTTGGACCTGCTTGGTTGCCTTGCAACCTTGATCATACTTTCTTGTGCATCTGAAGTAAGCCCTGTAAATGCGATTATATAACTGTTAAGGAGTCCGTCTGGTAACGTTTTTTAAACACTTTATTGTAAAACGTTGTCATAAAAGGAACGAGAAAATACATTTATATTTTTAAAATTTGAGAATGCGCCGACACAAACTTACTGGCTACGTAAATTAAATTCAATCCACTTTGTTTGTTGAATGCCCTTCAATGATTGGGGCCTGGTGCTTTAACTTCATATGTTTGTACTGTGCATCTTTTCAATAGTGAAATGTGAACCCTACCTTTGTTGTAACCACACAATGTGAACACCGACTTTTCTAGTTAGGATTTCCATACTTCATTTATTTCTTTCTAGTTCTTTTCTTCATGAGTTGGATTTTAAACGCTTGTTTGTAAGTGTTTTCAAAAATACGTTTAATCATTTTAAAAGCACTTTTAAACAAGTCCTAACTCATATTGGATGCAAGCTGTCAAGCTATGTGAAGGTAAGAAATAAAGATATAGGCAGCTAACGGTTTATCATAACGATGGAAAATAATTATGCATATGCATCACAATACGGAATTGATTTCTACTAATTCTCAACACCAACCCCCTAACATTAACTATTTAATAAAAAATAAAGATAAGAGTTTAATAACTTTTGTGACTAGAAAAGAATAAGTATTACTTAACAATTATCCATATTTTACCTTTCATTTTTTTACTTTTATTTTTTCTTTTAACATACTTGAATCTAACAAGTTATGCAATGCAATACAATTTTAAACACTAAATATACCCCTGTATTGCCACACTGTTTTTCTCTATGCACATCCATATTTGATTCTACTATTAAAATTGAATAAAATAAATGAGAACATTTATTTTGAATAAATCATTTTCCCCGAAAAATTGTTCATATATTCTTAAAAATAAAAACAAACCTTGGATATGAAGCTTTGAGGATTATCTTTTGGCCGTATTTTCTCCAAGCCTGACCATCTTCAATTTTGGTAGAGATTACTTTCCATGATTGAGATGTCTTTCTGCAACCAAGAAGATGAAATAAACTTATTAGTCTTGGATTTAATTTTTTATTTAATTTTAAAAAATAAGTACTAAGTAACTTACACTCATTATTTTTCGAAAACGTTAAATTCTTTTCTAATTGAGTATAAAAATCCTAATTAACTCAGTTAAAAACATTGAGATACGGTATAAGGCGATATTTTAAACTATCATGAGCTACACAAGGGTATTTAAACTCGCTTTCACGGAACAAATATACTGTTTCAGCCAACCAACCTAACTCATGTCCGTATGTTAAACAAATATATGAAATTGACAATACACCCCTGATTTGTGTATCATACTAGATAGGAAAGTAAACAAATAAAAGAAAATAGCAAACAATTATTCACATATTAATCTATGATTGAGATGTTTCAATTCATTACCTCCTCTTGTAGCTACCTCTCCGATCCTTGAAAGCCTGAGTCTTTGGACTCTCACCGGAACCTTCAGAGCTCCGGTCACCGCAATGCGAGTGCTCCACATGGGAAGGTTCAGGCTTGACCTGATAAACCTCACCGGAAGCAGCAGACTGGTGATCCTCATGGCCGTTAGAAGCAGTCAGAACAGAGAGACTCTCTGTGAATGTTGTCATGATCTTCATCAAAAGCTCCTCCGCCGATTCACGATCTCCGAACGGCTTGTGGAGCAGACTCTGAAGCTCCACCGCCGTCTTCCGGCCTTCTAGTAGCTCCTCGATCAGTCTCTTGTGGTTGGTTCCCATTCGTTCCACGATGCTCTGCTTTTGCTCTGTTCCCAGCCTTAACTCCTCTGTTCTCTCTCTCACTGTTTTTGAGAAAATATAAGAAATGGGTTTTGTTTGGATGTAACCACTATTGGGATTGCTTTTGAAATGATTAAAAGCGTTTCTTACCGTGTTTGACGGTTTTTAGTAAAGGAAAAGTTTTCATTAGCTTCTAGATAAAGCGTTTCTTAATAGAAGTGCTTCTTACATAAACAGTTTCAAACAAACTATTGGAGAGTGGGAAGTGGTTTATGAAAGATGAGAAAAATGGCTTTTGGGGTGCTCCTCTTTGTTTGCTATGTTTGTGTGTGGAAAAAGGAAATTTTTGAATTGGGGTTTGTATGGATGAGGTGAGAGAAGTGGATGTGGTTTTATGTATGTGAATAGGAAGGTGGGAAGCAATTCATAGGAAGTTGCAAGGAAGGAGGTGAAATCCCTAATCACATAATTACATGATTAAAGTGAGAAATTTCCAAACAAATCAAATGCTTACAAAGCTGATGTGATGTCATGTGGTGATGCAAATGCTTACATCATTGGTATTTTTCATGTTATCTTCCAATCCAACTGGCAGGCTGTGCATAGTATTTACTTTTTGAGTGTTGTTTGGTGCAATAAAGTCTCTGTAATTATTCAATGCATATCCATTTCCTAGATTCTTGCTAGATACACTTTGATCACAAATCTTGTAGTTCATGTTTTCACTAAGAGAATTGCTACCGACACTCGAAAGCAATTTTCTATAAATTCGTTGACCATCTAGAGTTGAGAAATGCTAAACGGACTCATTTAAATGTGAGATTGTTCGTTAATTTTATGTTGCTTTACAATTTAACGTTAATATGTGATATAAAGTCTACGGAGAGGTCCAATTTTGAAAGGCAATATCTTTACGTTTCTCAATTATCAAGGCGTAAACTCTAGATGGCCAACGATTCCAAGGAGAATTGCTTTCAAAGATTAATCAACTTTCATAACCTATGACTAATCATAAAGATTGGAATTGATGTAGCCTCACTCTCACAATAACTTTCTATGAAATTTACGACTCACCACAAACAGAGCTTTCTAATATCTTAACCTTAACCGGGGATATTTTTGATTGGGCAATGCGTTCGGACATTTCTGATGTTAATATCAAAAAAGACGTGGGAGATTAAAATGTTACAAAATATACATAGTTGCAATGAAACCCTAGGTTGTTAACTTGGTGGCCAAACAAAAATGTTACTTTGGCTATATTTTTTATATCACCTTTAAATCGCCTCTCTAATAGAAATGAGATCGGCATGTGTTGGCGAGTCTTACTTTACTCTATTGGAGAGATGAAACAAATGTGATAAACGTGTACTTGCTGGTGGGCCAAAAATTCCCAAATGCAAATAGAGGTATTCTTCGATTCTCTCGAATCTATAAGGAGTTGACAATCCTACCCTTCCCCAACGAATACCCCGAATTTGTAAGGAGCTGCCAATCATACCCTCCCTCTGGTTGAACTTTAATTTTAGCCAATACCCTTCTGAACATTTATAATTTGCCAATTCCTCCATGAACTTTAATTTCTCCTCTAAACCCTAAAATTCAAACAAAAAGTGTACGGAGTAAACTAGTGGAAGAGAAGAAAAAGAAAAACAATATGTTGTCTACATTAGGAATAAAATTATCTTTTTACAATTTTAAAATTAACGTTTAGGAAAATTGGTCAATTATAAAAATTTAGAATGTAATCGGTTAAAATTAAAATTTAACTAAAAAATTAATCAATTACAAAAATTTGAAGAGATAATTGATTAAAATTACAGTTAAAATGAAGAAATTGACAACTCCTTACGTGTTGAAAAAGAAAATCGACAGACATCCTGTACAAATTGCGACGTGGGCCGTATTAGGACCATCACTTTCAATGTAACCCTTTCCCCTTTGAAAACTATATATTTTATATATTACATAATATTATAATGTAACTCCTCCAGCCTTTCATCCACAGGTGGAGAGCCCTAATTGGCTTATTGGTCCATTGATCATTGTACGACACTCTTAAAAAAACAACTGTTTTATTCAAAAACTAAAGATTCTTTGGAATTGTTTTTGAAGTGGTTAAAGACGCTTTTTATGAATTTTATTTTGAAATTAATTTTTAATAAAAATATAAGTAAATTAAGAAAAAAACATTTGACGTGTTTACTATTATAAGAAATACTTAGTGTTTTTTAAACTCGAAAAGTTTTCTCTAAACGAACCCTAAGTAATATCACACTTAAATAATGCTAAGTAAATTAATTAAGTAACTTAGTATTAAGGTTTAATGATATTCTTCTTCAATTGTATGTGAGAGGTCTTAGGTTTGATTCTCACCAAAGATGAATTTGAATCACATTATTATTAGTCTATTGTGAGACTTAGCCATCCCCTTAGGGAAAAGGATCATCTCCGGATCCACTTTGTGGGGATCCTAGGACTTCCCACATCCTAACTGTTTATCGTACATTGTACAGTCAGTTTTTGTAAGGTACTATTTGTGTTTAATTTTAAATAAAAAAATAAAATGATTTATGACAGCACGATGCACGATGAATGACTAAGATGTGAGAATTTATAAGATTCTCACAATTTAAATCCGGATGGAATCCAAATCCTTCCCGTAGTATATGTAATATTGTTTATTTAAAAGAAAAAAAAAGTAAGATAATGACAACATATAGGTAATAATTTAAGTAATAATAATATCATTACTTAAGTAATAATTTTATATTAATATTTAGAAAATAATCTAATTATCAATCACTATATAATTTATAAAATATTATCTATATATTATTATTAAAAGAATCCTCCTTGTCAACTTTTTACCATATTTTTTTTTCTATTTTGCCCTCATTTTTTATACACAATACTTACATAAGGAGAGTAAAATAGTAATTTTGTATCTTTTGCCCCTTTTTTCCTATTTTGTCATCACTTTTTTCTATTTTTTCTTCACTTTTGATACACAATACATACATAAGGAGGGCAAAATAGTAATTTTATATCTTTTTAAAAAATGACCATCATATCCTTATTTTTCGTATTTTACCCTTATTTTTTATACATAATATTTATATAAGGAGGTCAAAACAGTAATTATTTAATATAAAGATAAAATATGCACTTATTAAAAGAAATTGTCACACCATTATTTTTTTCATACTTTTTTTAAAATTTTAAAAACTGATCATATTCTTTAATAAAAAAATAAAAAATAAAATGAAATTGTTCACATACACAGATCGTGTGCTTATCGGCTAGTTAAATTTTATTTTAACATTAGCCATTCAAATATCCAATTCAAACCTTTTTACAATACAGACAATATACGGCGCATTGATTGGATAAAGCCACGCATCTAACCCAATATACACCCGCCACGTGGTCCCGCCATTAATTGCAAATTCACACGTCGAGAGCAATACAGAAACCTAACCGAACGCAGCGCCGTATGCGAACCTTACCTCCCGCGGTCCACTCCATGCTAAGCTGGAGGTCACCTCCATCACTGTCGCTGAGGATGCTATGGTTACCTCCACTGCACTCCGTAAACCCTAACCCTAGATTGCATCCCGCCTCTTCAGTTTTGCCGCCCTCCAATCGACCCCCTCAGTCGTTTTTCAACCCCAGTTGGATTCCGGTCTCCGATTCTCGCTGCGTCCCTCAAAGCATGACGCTTTCCAGGTGCTTCTCCGGGCCCACCAGTCCGGTCCCGATTCCGAGCTCTCCCGAGTCGGATAACTCGGATTCGCAGATTCTCGTGGTGGTCTCCTTCTACAAGTTCGCTGATTTTCCTGACCATGCTTCTCTGCGGCAACCATTGAAGCAGCTCTGCGAAGAACTGGTACCCGCATTTCATCCGCATTTCTATATTTTCTTAAATTTTAGTTTGTTAATGGTTAATTTCCATAAATTTTAAATTTCAAATCTTCAGACATTCTTGGACTACTGGGGATTAAAGCTTTGTTGGGTTAATTAACTTAATTTGGGTGAGATTAGAAGATGTCGAAATCAATTTTGGTTGGCTAATGGCTAATTAGATAGATAATTTGATAAAGTCTGGCATTTTTTGTCAATTTTTTGTTAAATTCTTAATTTGTGGTTAGCAATTCTCAAAAGACTTCATTTTTACGGGATTATAGTTAAAGGAAAGCCAATGAAAAATCCAAAAAAAAACTTTAGTTTTAATGAAAAATGACAAATAAAGATATAGTGAATGGTTATAGGAAAAGGTAAAAATGTGGTTTTTCGTTAAAAATGAGCAGTACCAAGAGTGTTTTGTTAAAACTCCCTATAATTAATCCGTGACATTGCATCTTCCTGTGGTTTTATTCGATTCTGTTTTACTCTTCCGGAGCTTATGTACTGTCTATTTTGTACCTCACTACGCTGATCGTGACCATCATGTTTCAGGCGGTATCATACTTGCCCGGGAAGGGATAAATGGGAGCATTTGTGGGACAAGAGAATCGGTGGAGAAAGTTCTTGAGTTCATCCAAAATGATAACTGCCTTGAGGGACTAAGAAGATTGGAGTCACTTGTTAGTCCTGAGGAGGAAGCTATTCATCTGCCCTTCATTGGCTTTGGCACACTAGCAGTTCTCCTCTGGCAGCAGGGGAAGATGCGCCCTTCAGATGGGATCATGTGAGGGTCAAGTTGAAGAAGGAGGTACGGGTTAAAATAAGTCTTGATTGTGAACTTGCGGGTACATTTTGTTGTTCTCATTTATAAGGTGGTTCTTATTTACTCCTTGCACATGTTTATCAGATTGTTAGTCTTGGAATGCCTGATGTATCTCCAATGGAAAAGGTCGGAAAGTATGTGAGTCCACGGGATTGGAATGCATTGATTAGTGATCCAGATACAGTGAGTATTTTCTTCCTTGTATTGGTGTCTTCATAGTATGTCACTGAGCTGTAATCAATTTGCAGAATGTATTCCGTGCTTTTGCTTTTGAGTTCAGTTTTTATTTGTATTTTTTGAGTGGTCTATAGCAGACTAAGCAGTATATTATCCAATGTTACCAAGTACATTAAAAAACTTGACCTTCATGACTCGCTCTTAATTCTGACAAGATCATGTTTTTTAGCAGCTTGATATGCATATATCCAGGTGGTTATTGATGTGCGCAATAATTACGAAACTAGAATAGGGAAGTTCAAGGGAGCAGTTGATCCGTGCACTAAAGCATTCCGAGAGTTCCCATCTTGGGTAGACGATCAGTTTCAACCTTCAGAATCTGAGAATGGTCATTCAGAGGTGAAACTCAACAGTCCAAATGAAAGCATCAACAATCAGCTCGAGATATCAAAACCAAAAACACCTCTGAAAG